TAAAATAAACTAAGGTGATAAACATTCTCATAGGTTCTACTATCTGGTTAAAAACTATGACATGTAATGTAATACGGTCTATAGGCAATTAGGTACTATATGAACTTTAATATTTTGTTCCCATATAATCYTTTAATACGTCAGGTATACTGTATAATGGAACACTATTTTATGGGTTTTATTATATTTACATATCTACACAAATATATATCAACTTGCAGATACAATAATTATGTCATTTTATCGTTTCTGTTGTTTGTCCAAGAACCTAGGTACCTACCAACATTAAACAGTTTGGCATACTTGTTTTATAAGCCGCAGTTAACATTTTTTAATTGATGCTTATTCTACATATGGTTTTAATTAATGTTATCACAACTGTTACTTCGCTGAATCATTTAAAACAAAAACAACTAATTACGAACAACTAACACCTTTGTTTTTAAAAGTTAAATAACATAATAGGTTAAGAATGTGCCAAATTGAAGTAGGTAGTAGAGACACTAAAACATATACTACAATAAGTCAGTATTTGTTAGTAATTAAAATACACTATAGCTTTATATAATAWTATTTTATGTACGATCATTTTTTCATCTTATCTAATAATAAGTTAMAATTTTTTTATACTTTTGCATTATAATATAATTAATATATACAATAATGAGTAGGTATACTACTAAATCATATAATAATATTTAATAATATGAAAGTTATCTTATATTCTATATAACTCAAAATTTATAACGATAAAAAAATTTCATTGTCTCTTGTCTTCCAAGTAAACTTGATTGTCGTGACATGTACACACTCGTGTATTATAAATTATTTATAATTATAATTTGCACAAACAATTTATCATCATACCTTAAAGTAACTAATCTTTCAATTATATTTATCAGAAATATATATATATTATGTATATGTATATATTTATATATATTTTTTTTGTTATTGGTCTTGAAAGTATCAATAATTTCTGCTTAGACATCTAAGGCCATTAGAATTACATCTAATAATATTGTATATTTTTGTATAATATATAATACGCATACTTTGTTCAATAACAATCATATTAGTAATAATAGCATATTTTATATAGTTGCAACTATAATTATT